TGCTAAGACCAAGAAAAATTTTTTTTGTAAAAGAAACTGAAAAAACAGACCTGTGGTTATGTAGAGTCCTCCATCGTGGAACAAGATAAAAAGGGGTTGCAATTCTCCTCAGTGTCCTTTATCACCATCCCACTCGTCGTGTGACGTAAGTAGCGGGGAACAATATCTATGGGCAGTAGCCAATGCGATTAGACTGTCCGTTAGCTGTTAGTGTTGTGCCAAAATTTTTTTGGAGGAAAGAAAATGTAGTGACAAGAATTATCTGTACATTTTTACATTAGAGTCTCTGAATCAGCCATCCACTTTATACCGTCCCATTGGGCTTTAAGCATAAAATATCACTAACTCAAAATATCTAAAAATTGGTAAGGCTAATGCCAGCTTTTTTTAAAGTATTTGTAATTATTTTATGAGGAATGCTGTTATTTTTTAAGATAGTTACGAAGTATAGTATTTCTCCTTGAAGGTGTTTTGTAGTATTGCAGATTCTTTTTATTCTGAGTAGCTGTGAATAAATTGTGTTAAGGATGACTCTTTTAGAAATATATGAATTCTTCCAGTTGGTTAATTTTAGTGTTGAAAAATTAAATTCTCTTCTTTTGTCGTAAACTTTGATAAAATTGTAATCAATAATATGTAAATCGAGGTAGACTACAAGCGGCCGAGCGGTAAAGTCGCTGAACACTGGTAGTTCGGTCCGAGGTTCGAATCCCGCGAACCGGCTGGCTGCATGGGTGTTTTCGTGGTTTTCCCCATGTGTAACGTGTATACGAGCCAGTTTCCCTTAGAAAGTCCTCCACGAAGGCATCCCTCCCCTAAGGCAGATAGCCCTAGTGTGCTTTGCCATAATTAAATACACACCAAGGTAGACTACACTGTGTTGCACTGTATTGGTATTATTTAGTTTTAAGCATGTAGGGTAGATATTAGCAACTTCTATTTTGTTATAGTTATTAAATGCAATGACATCATCAATATATATATAGATGTGTTGGTAAAATTTATGTTCTTCTTTACTGAGTGAATGGACAAAGGTCAATTCTTTTGTAAAAAGAAATAATTCACAGACGGAACTGGAAAAATTACCTCCCATTGGAATTCCCTGTATTTGTTTAAAGATGCTATTGTTAAATTGAATTAAATTATTGAAAAGCACGCTGGAGAGGAAAAGTTGCCATTTTTCATTCCTTATAATGGTAGAAATTTGCGGAAATAAATCTGGAAGAGCAAGTAAGCTTGTAAATATTTCTTCTAGTCGTAAGGTAGTATAGAGGTTTATATATATATATATTTAAAAAACTGACATTTTGTCAAGATCTGTGTCAGTTTAAATGTGTTATATTTAAAAACTAATATATTAAATATGTATACGACTTGTACCATGTAAAAGTGACAATATGACGCATCTTTCTACAGTAAGATGACTGTGAACTTTCTGTGTTCTGGCATAATTTTTCAGAGATTAAATTTACATTACTTTTTTAACCTTTCATTTTAAATTAATATGTATTAACAGTCAAAACGTGCATCTTTCACATTTTATCTCGTGGGAATAGATTTCATTGTGACATTTTTAAGTTTTGAAAACTGCATTTTGAAAATTTATAAAGTTGACAAACACTGCTGCTCAACCAATCTTACTTTTTACAAATTTTCGTTAATTCTGCTTATTGACATTAAATAGTTCTACATAGCAGTTTGCTGATGCATGGATCGCTGCTCTATTTCAATGAAAATTTTGACTACACTAACAACGTAACTGCCATAGCAGCACCACACAGCAGGCACGATAGGAATTCATATTTTAAAAGTTTTTTGAGTCACCCATACTTTCATAATTCATGAAATCAAAACTACACATAATTTCTATGTTAACTTAGCTACTGAATGCAAGAACAAAAATGGTATAGAAAACATTTAATAACTAGGCATGAAAAATATTATCTAAAGCTAAAATTTAGTATGAGATATGATTATAGATAGACAAAACTGGTAATAATTGTAGCTGGTGTATTGAAATCTTGAGATCTAAAGCATCTTAATAACTTGAATTCTATGTTAACTTAGCTATTGAATGCAAAAACAAAAATGGTATAGAAAATATTTAATAACTAGGCATGAAAAATATTATTTAAAGCTAAAATTTAGTATGAGATATGATTATAGATAGACAAAACTGGTAATAATTGTAGCTGGTGTATTGAAATCTTGAGATCTAAAGCATCTTAATAACTTGAATTCAGTTTCAATCAGAGAAGAGACGAAAACAATCGTTTCTTTCGATAGTACTCTAAAACATTCCGCTGGATGAGGGTGTAATTTTTTCTACCGGAATTCATCGCCAACAGCTCCGGTAAAATGTTTTAAATACGATCACAAATAATGATCATATGATCCCAATGATCTTATCTATATATATCTCTGAGCATTTAAAAAATGATCCAAAAGATACACAAGCCTGTATTTCTACGTCTACCATATTTATGTGCATACAGCCCACATGTGTACATGAACCACATCCCTTTCCTAAACCAATGCACTTGATTAAAAAAAAAGTATTCTTAGAATTCCATTAAGGGATGCAAGTAATTAGTAAACAAAATATGACAACGTCACAAATTCTAAATGAGAGGATGTGATGATTAATGCTTATTGCTGAATGCTACTCAAAGTTGAATGCTGCTAACATTTCCTGGAGTGTCTGATTTTGTTATGAATGTCCATTTATTTCCAGTTGAAATTTCCTTTTTGAAAGACCCAATGTTTTATTTCTCTTAAGAGATTCAGTTTCTTCTTTAGTGGTTTTCAACCACAGTTTCTTTTCTTTGGTTGGAAACGTTTGCTGTTCTTACCAAAATTTAGGAATTTTGATGTCTGTTCTTTGACACGTACGAGAATCTATTTGGTGGGATTCCATTAGTCGTTCTTTGTGATCTTCTTGGTGATAGGGGAGTTTCTTCTGTTTCTATTCCTTCTTCTGTTGCAGCATCTGGATATAATTATCTCGACTCATTTTCTTTTAAACGGCCATTGTATTTCCTCAATCCGATCATTTACTTGATGAGGTATTGCTTCTTTTTTTATTTCCATTGAATGTTTCACTACTTTTGATGACAACCCGTTGTATGTAGCATATAAATTTTGCGTCCTTTAGTAGAATCACTGTATCCAACAAGAATTCTTTTTTTTTTTTTTTTCTCTTTCATCCAGTTTACTCCTTTTCTACTTATAGTAGAAACTAGGCAACAAACTGTGTTGCTATAAACTCTAATATTGCTTAAATACGGCTTTTTATTTTTCTAGAGCTTGTATGATGTTTTTTCAACTGACCTTAATGGTAGTCTGTTTTGCAGATAGGTCACTGTCATTATGGCTTCAGCTTAGAATTTTCTTTAAAGTCCAAAATCGAGCAGTAAGCATCTTGTCATTTCCATTATGTGCCAATTTTTCCTTTCTGCTTGACCATTCTGTTGTAGTGAATATGCCACAGAAGTTTGATGTTCGATTCCCTCTTTATTTAGATATCCTTTAACTTCTTTGTGCATTTTCCTCCACTGTCTGTTCTTAAAATGTCTGGCTTCTTTCCAAATTTGTTCTTTGTCACATTTACAAACTGCTTTAACTTTCATTTTTTCAGCTAACAAGTAGACCTCTGTGCATCTCAAATAACTGTCAATGAAAGTTAAGTAGCTTTTCTTTTCTCCTAGTCATGTGCCAATCGGCCCACAAATGTCCAAATGTATTAAATCTAGAATTGATTTTGCTCTGTATTTGTTTAGCTCCGGATGTGGCAATTCAGACATTTTGTTTTTGATGCAATATTTGCATTCTTTATCAAGCTCTTGGTCAATTCTTTTTCCAGTTGCCAGATCATCACTCTTCAGCTTCTTGATTGCTTCATAATGTCTGTGTCCTATTTTTCTATGCCAAAGATCTATGCTGTTTTCCCTTCTTTTTACAACTACAATTTTGGCCTTTTTTCTTTTGTGATTCAGTTATCTCATATAAATTTCCTTCTGCTTTAGCAATTTCTATGGTATTATTTTCCTTCTTTATTTTGCAAGTATCTTCAACTGCAAATCTCTTGTTTGTGATTTCTGGTATAGCTATTAATCCTCTTTGAATGTAAGGAACATATAGAACAAATACAGCTATCTGAGAAGGTAATGTTTGCCAGAAAGATTTTTTTTCTTTAATGAATTTTCTTTAATTCATTCGATATTTTTTTAGCTGCTGTTTTATTTGTCAAGAGTACAATTTGGTTATCTTTTACAAGTAGATTTATGGTAGCTTGTGCTTGTTCATCTTGTTTTGTCCACTTAGCATTCATTTCTGTTGGTCTATCACTTGTGATTAAATTCCATTAATTTACTTTTTTCATTATCATTTCTAGTTTGTATTTCCATAGCTGATAATTGCCATTGTTTAATTTGACTCCTGAGTACTTATTTGCACAGATAGCAGCCATTTTTGCTTTTGTTTTTCCAATGCACAGTACACAACTATATTAATTTTTCCCCCTTACCCAGCGGTAATTTATTTCAGAGTTTCTTTCCTGCATTTGAATGCAGTAAACATGCATTCAGTCCCATAATCAGATGCTGAAGGATTGTGCAGTTTATTTATTTAGCACCTAAACACAAATCACTTGTGATAAGCAGATAAATAAAACAATGGAAGTCTCTTACATCATTAATGGGCAATCCATGCTGCGAATGTAAGGAACAAAACTAAAATGTAAAAAAAAAATATTTATTACCTATTAAAAAAAGGAAAAAAAACATATCTCATGGAGGTACAAACATTATCGGCTGTCCACAGCGAAGTGCAATGAGTCATCGGAGGAGAAATTTTCTCTTTTCAGATTAAGTCCACTTACAACTAAGGGATTGAACGAAGATAATGTTGGATGAGCAGCTTAAGTATTTAATCTCTTTTGTTTTCACTGGCAATAAAACAACAGAATATTAAAACTTATAAGCTAAATTTAATCAACTTACTGTGCATTTTTTGATGCTATCTCTTTCTCCTTTTCATCAAGAGCATTACGCAAGTTTATAACTTGTTGAGCAAACTGCAAAAAATAATAGTGATGGAGAAAATATATATCACATATAATGTGGAAATACAATTTTTGCAAAAGAAAAAATCTACGCAGGCATAAATATTTTACTTCTATGGTTCTTTTATAGTCATTTATTAGTAATAATTTAAATTGAAAGGACATTTTAGCTTGTTCACAATCTCTTCTTCACAATCTTGTCTAAAACACACACACAATGAGCATTAGTTATTTACCTACTGCAAACAGAACTGTGAGAACGGAAATTTCTCACAACACGCAGTTCATCATCATGGACACTATCGTAACATTAATTGGAATCACAGAACTACATGTGCATATAAATACACGCCAAACATGTTTTTAACTCTCTTTGCTGATACGGCTCGCACGAGTATGCGGGGCTGCAAACTTTCATCACTCACACTCTTGGAAATGCATTCGTCTTTTGGATGGAAAAGAAGGAGCAAAGCAGACTAAAAAATTGCACGAAAGATCCAGAAGTCATAATGTTGAAAATTAATCCATATTGAAGTCACCACGCTGAAAATTAATTTACTGTGAAGTAACTTTATTACTATGTGTTTTTGCTCAAAATATTGCTGCCATTGTCATCGGATTGTCACCTTGTGGTGATCAGCTCAGACCGTGTCCATTGAATCCTCTTGCATGTAGCATAAATATGCTGGGAATAGATGATGTACTTAAACAATAGTTTTATAAACAATAGTTTTAAAACATACTACAAAGATAGTTGCATGGCAAGATGATGATAAGTTAAATGCATTCATATCTTTATTCACATAAACTTTCATTAGCCCTTTATAGCCAAGAAAGGGTTCTTATGTAACTTTCTTATATAACTAAGATAACTATCTGCCTTGTATGTAATTCATTGAAATATTAATTTATTTAAAACATTAATTTTAAATTTGTTTGAACATAGTTAATATCTTGAATTGTAAGTTCTATAACAAAATTGTGTATTTTCAGAAGTAGGTTAGTAGTATCAAAATTTAACAGCTTATATATATATATATATACATTGGCCACCAAAATTTAAAGGTAATGATAAAAAATATGCTCACTAAGCTGCAACAAATGCCCAATGCTGTAATTATTTATGTTAATTAAATATAAATACATAAAAATTTGTCCTTCGGCACATATATTAGTGATGAAAATATGTAAATTCAGTGATAGACAACGTGGTGCGCAATGGATGAATGTTGGCATTCCGGTCTGTAGTGTTGCTTAAACTGAATGTCGATTCTGCAAGTGATTAGTAGTTATGGCTCAAAGGCACCATTTAAGTGAAGGTCAAATACAGTGAATAATTGGTAAAATCGAGAGAGGTCAAACACAAATGGAGGTCACCCAAGATTTGAACATCAATCAAAGTATCATATCAAGAGTTTGGGGCTGCTTCTTAAGCACCTGATCAGTTGACAGACAGTCTGGTAAAGGGCAACCAATAGCAATAACTACATTAGAAGACTGCTTTCTGTTGTTGTTGGCTTGGAAAAACCATAAAGAGACTATAAGAGAGTTGGGTTTAGGCCTTCAGGCTGCTACAGGATGGCTTAACACACACAAAAAAAAAAGGCTTAACAAGGTTGAACTGTATGCAAGAAAACGAATAGTTTGTGTCCCACGCAATCCAGCTTCTAGAGGGAGCCATTTATATTGGTGTAATTGTCATGTTCAATGGAGACAAGACGAGTGGGCTCGAGTGTTGTTTACTGATATGTCCAGGTATAGTCTGAACAATGATTCTAGACATGTTTTGATCTGGAGAGAGGGGTAAAAAAGGCAACTTGCTGTCCCTTGTCTGTGAAATATCCCACTTCCGCAGCCACAGTTTCCTGGTTTAGGGAGGAAACATGACAAATGGCCACACTAAGCTGCATATCTTTCAAAGAGGTTCTATAACTGCTCAGAAGTATGTGGGCAATGTACTAGAACTAAAAATTAGACTGTTTAGGGGCTGTTGGCCCAAGGAACATATGTTTTCTGTGAACATTTTTAAAAAAATATACAACCATTTCTGATATGCACTCAATATTAGCAAGTTACACATAAAAGTTTGATAGCTGGTTGCACAAGCAGCTATTTTTGTAAAAAATTCAAGAAATTTTGTACATTAATATCTTTTTCATCATTCTTGTTTTAAAAGAGAGAGGATTTGCTTTAGAACCTTAAAAATTTTTATAAAAAAGTAAATTTAAGAAAAATTGGCTTTTAAAATGAAATGTTGAAAATAATTAATTATATATAAATTTATACAATGGGGGAAATAAAAAATGACACAGTTCAAATAATTTTAAATGGTAATCAATCCTTAAACTCTACTGTTTGCAAATAATTTTAAATGTTAATCAATTCTTAAACTCTGCTGTTTCCGAGATGATAAAATGAAATTAATATGGAATTCAAAATCCGTCTATAAAAAAGGGAGAGAAATAACATTTATAACTGGAAGACTATCAACCACATAAATATGACTGAGAAAAAACAATGCCAAAACTAATGAAACAGTTTTATTAAATGAAACATTTACAATTATTTACACTTACCAAGGACTTTTAACATATTTTAAATCCATCCATCAAACTAGCATTCTGATAAAAAAAATTTAATGTGTTTTATAAATTAAATAAGAAAAAGCACAGAAAATGTTAATAAATACCAAAACTTGAATAAAAGTATTTTCGTATTCATTAACTTAAGATAAATACTTAATATCTAAATAAAAGGCTGAGGTTGAGAACCTCTAAGCTAGCATGATGACATCTGTTTCTACAAAGAACTACCAGTTGTTTCTTCCGTTTTGTATGTTTGGTACTATTCCATTTTGAGGACCGTAACAAAGTGAAGCGAAAATATATGCACCAAAGTGCCAAATCTAGCAAACTTGCCCATTTAACAGCACGCCAAAACTAGCGTATGTACCGATTTCAAATTGCGTAAGTTTAGATAGTTCTATATTTGTTAAAACGCCATTGAAACACTAGTTTAATTTTTAAATCCTTTTTTCATATCCTATGGTTTTAAGAATTTAGAAATTGCCCATGACAAAAAGTCTGCAATTGAATTTTTTCAAAGAAAAGGCTTCATTCATTATAGAAAATTATGTTTGAACAACCAACGAGATGAAATTATGCTTCAGCGATAACTCGGCAGCGAAACAGCAATGCAGGAATCCATTCAATTATGTTTAGTCTTTTTTTATATAAATTATAATAATGATTTGAAATAGTTATATACTCTTATGCTTCCATTCAGTTATGTTCAGCCTTTTTATATAAATTATAATAATAAAGTATTATATGAAATTAACCTTTCATATAAATTAAAACAATCTTTAGATAGTTATTTCCTATTATACTTCCTTTCTTACGTTAGGGTTGCCGCAATTATTTTTGGCAGCACTGGCATCAACAATAGTTTGGTGATTTTTTACGGTCCCCTAAACGGAATAGTACCATATGTTTTTTTTTTTCTTTTTAACTAAGAACATTTATTTTACAATAGTACTTTACTGTACCTTTGACTATATTACAATTTTAATTACAGTAATATGCAGTGAAATCCGAGTTGTGAATAAATAAATAGAGTCACCTTGCGAGAGATGGAAGATCACACAGGTATTCTCCTACACCCAAAAAAATGAGATTTTCTATCAAGCAGTTCCGGAGAAATCTCGAAAAACGTAAGCATGGGGGTCAAATTACCATGACTCCCAATAAGAAAATAAAATGTTTTTGACATGAAAAGTTTGGGGCACAAAAATGAAAGATAACGGTGCAAATCGCATCGAAATCGGACCATTAGTTCCAGGGAAATTCGCATTTATGTGTGCAAAATGCGTTTCTCACAGAGATCTGTATTTTGCACACATAAATGCAAATTTCTCGGGAACTAACAGTCCGATTTCGATGCGGTTTGCACAGTTATCTTCCATTTTTGTGCCCCAAACTTTTCATGTCAAAAACATTTTGGGATTCTTCAAGTGGAACCAGAAAAAACCATTTAAAAAAGCGATTTTTGAACGGGTTCGGACCTCCATATGCATCTCTGGTCCTAATTCAGGGTTCGTTGCACACGGAAATTAAGGACTTTTAAGGTCCATTAACGAAAAAAATTAAAGACCTATGAGCAAATGAGAACTGAAAAAATGCAATTAATAATATTATCTATGCCTGAATTTTAGTTTTGTAATACCATTCTAAAAATAAAATATATCCCTAAGTATGACACATTATTATTAAACATGAATTAACATTGAAAGCTTGAAATTAATTAAAGTTTGAGAATAAATAAACTTTATGCAATTTACAAGTAGCATTAAATATTTTACACTTATAATAGTTAGACATATTTGAAGTGGCATTTATATTTTACTAACAGTTAGCTTTATGTTGATTTTTTTTATGTCTCATTTTGTCACGTACTTGTTCAGTCTAGAGGTTTAGTAAATAGCATGTAGATTTTATGTCAAGTGTCATAAGTTAAAATGAGACGTAAGATCATAATCAGCATGATTCATAACAAAAGACTGAATGTTGTCACTGCTTGTCTACAGAGAGACCTGCTAATTGGAACAAACCTAAAAGGCCTGTTGTAGGCACAGTTGGCAAGTTCTGAAAGTGTTGTTACAAAACATTTACGTCTTATAACAACAACACTCAACAAAATATTTATGCGTCATTTTAATTTGAAGCCTTCTCATACATTTTTGCAAATTTTTATCGATTTCCTTCTCTTTAAGCATCTTTTCTAACAATCAGAAATTTGTCTCAATATGCAAACCAATGCTCTGACTAGTTTCTGCATGCTTTATCTGCTAACTTGTCAACCTCTCCACAATATACCTATGAGGGTTTACTTGATCTGGTAAAAGTTAAATAGTTCCAAACCCCCCGACAAATGTGAAGCAAATTATTGCTATGTCTGAATGTAACTATAATATCAGACAAAAGCTTAAATAAGCCTCTTATTTAAAAAGAACTTAGAACATAAAGGCATGTTCTGATGCTAACAGAATCAATTACACCTCATGGTGACGTTACTAAATAAGAACATTCAAACTTTTAGTGGTCAAGATTATACAATTTAATTTTAATTTAAGCTGGCTCAGTAACTCTATCATATGAGGAAATAAAAACAGGAAATTCTAGTGAAGGCTGAAATCATGAACAACTCAGTAATTTACATAATAACTGTACATATCTCTGAAGAATAATTTTCTTCATGTATTTAGTTTTTTTCTTCAACAGGTTTCCTTTTCATTTTAGAATTTTTGGATTTAATTAGAGACTTCTGTTAATTCAAAATAAAATTGTTTCAAAATGCATTTAGAATGTATAGAAAAAGCGGCTAATTTTATTACTTTAGTAATATGAACATTCAGAAGAAATAGGAAATATATATGGTAAGGGTCGGTTACAGAGCTGGTGTGGCAGAATTTTTAGAATTCAGTGACACACCGAGCAACAACATCTAGAAATGGCAAAACTTTTAGAATTTAGAACAGACATTGGAAGCAGAATTTAGAAAGGCACTAGACAGCAGAAAGGTTGCACAGAGATTGCATCAGGAGGGAAAATGCCTAGTGCCAGTTAGGTGTATGATGCATTAAGACATATTAGATGAATATTTTAAAAGCCTAAGTTTTGAACTTTTTTTATTAATAAAAAAATTCCTCTCTATAATGCCTGCCCATATGATAAGATTATAAGCATTTTTGATCTTTCCCATACTAGTGTCTAGTGAAAAGTAGAGAAAATAAAAGGAAGATAAACATGTTAAGAAAAAGATTCTAGTATCAAAAGTAAAACATTCAAATATTATGTTTTCATTGTTCTTCCAGACGTTCTCCAAAAAATAAGAAATTCATCACAAACTTTGTGTAAAATACATCCATTAAGTGTTAATAATATGGAGACATTTTTTATTTTGTCAGATATCTCTAGAATCTTTTAGAAGTGTGAGTCTATACATCTTGCCTTCAAATTCTTTTAAACTTTCGAAGCTCACAATGTCTTAAAATTCTAAAGAAAAATTATCCCTTACCAATTCTGTAATAGCAAAAAGCCAGAAATATTTTGGGGGAAAAAAAGGAGAGAGAAAGTGTAAAAATAATTTTATAGAGAAAACTGATGCATTTTCTGATACGATTACACGGGAAAAACTCTTACTACGAAAAAATTTTTAAAAAGACATTTTTAATTAACTATATAGCTAATTTTGCTTTAGCTAAGAACTATTTTGTAAATTGTGCTTTATACATACATTCTCTATACTTTATACCTTATTTATTTTTCAGACACAAAATACTGTATTATAAGTTGCCAAAATAAAAACTTTATAATATGACAGCGAAAAATAAAAATGTTTTATTTTAACGTTATTTTTAAGTATAATTTCAATATATTACTATTATTTTAGTGAAATTTATCAACGTTACAATGTTTTAAAAACAACCGTCGAAAAATTCCCAGATCTCGGAATTAAAACTTTTTATAGAAACTCATCTTAAAATCGCCAAAATGTTGATAAATGAGCTCTAAGAAGAGCTCTTAAACAATTTGTCTTCTTAGAAAAAATGAATTCCAAAATGCTTACGTTTCACTTCTTGCTTAAAAACTCCAGTACCCCACCATTTATATTAGAAATAGGAACAAATTATAACCTGTGAACCCATTCAAAAGATAACCATATATGTCAGTGAATCGAAAAATATATTCCTCCAAAATGATAATTCACACTCAAAATGGCAGTTGTAAAAACAAACAGACATTTCTGATGATTAAAATTAAGGACCTTCTGCCGATTTTGGCCAAAATTAAGGACTTTTAAGGACCAAAAATCGATTCCAAAAAACTTAAGGACATTTAAGGACTCTTAAGGACCGTACGAACCCTGTAATTGGACTAGAAACAATTTTTTTTAAATGACAGAGCGTCTCAAGGCAAAAATTTAACTAAAAAAGTTTTAAAAAAAGTTAAAAATTTAACTTTTAAAGTTTTTAATACCTTCCAATTTTTTATTTTTCATCAATTTTTGCAAAATTAAAAAAAAATCGCCTAATATAGACAGAGTCACCATTCTTGAAAATGAAACTCCCCGACATATTACCAAATCTTCTGGACATTACACTACCTTTTAATGGTTCATGATATTAATCTACATGTTGTCCAAACTGCTACTGATGACCTTTGAATGTGATCTTATAGGGAAATTTCTGGCTGGAATGATATTTTAGTTAAAGGGAAAGAAATCAGTGGGACCAAAATCAGCTACGCAGAAAAGCTGTGGAACCACTGTAATGCACCTCCTGATAAAAACAAAATTGGTGATAAAATATTGCAATGTGACAAGAAACAATGTCATAATAAAACATCCACCTGTCCATAAAGTCTGACAAAATAGCTTTCTCCTTAAAGATATTCATCATGATAATACAGAATGCTCTCCTTTTGCTGACCTTTTAGTCTGCTTCTGTAATCATAAGTCTTTTGGAAGACTTTCACACATTACTGGCCATCTATAAGATGACATGAGAACTTGTGTTCTTGCTATAAGATGCTCCCTCAACACTGTATCATTTTCTGCTGCATTTGAGTAACAAATTTCACACAATCTGATCATACAATGTTGTTTACCTTTAGCTGCTGTAACATAACTAATAAAACGCAATCACGAAAATGATTGCAAATTGACATTTATTAACAGTAAGGATATCATATATGCACTGACAGGCAATCAAGGTTGAGCAAATAATCTCTTTATTGGAATGGCCACACTGTTACTATCACTAGTTCTCAAGCAGAAGTCTGAGTACTTTTCTAATACAACTCATACGAAAAATTAAATAATTATACATAAGTATTTACATTTTTAATTTAAATATTAATTATTAAAAATATTTATACCTTTCCTTTCTGTTTATGCAGTTCTCCCACTTCATCTTGCAAGAGCAAAATTTTCTTTTCAGAGGATCTTTCACTTGGTTTGGATAAGCTATTAAAAAAAATATGGATAATAATACATATTCTAACACATCAACACCTTGCAGAAAAAGATACACTAAAAATTTTTTGCAATATTTTTTACCAAGAAATATTTGTAATATAGCAAAAATAAATCTAAACATACTTGAATAAGTACCAGGCTTTGCACACATTTCTGCGAATCTAAATTAAGCACTTTTAAGGGATTTTAAAGACCATTAGTGAAAAAAAATTAAGGGCCTATAAGGAAATGGGAACTGAATAAATTCACTTAAAAATATTATCTATGCCTATGTTTTGTAATTCCATCCTAAAAATAAAATCCATATATCATATTATTAAACATGAATTAAAATAATTATTAAAACTTTGAGAATAAAATAAACTTCATGAAATTTATCAAGCAGAATTAAATATTTTACACTTATAATAGTTCGACATATTTGAAAGAAGTGACATTTTATTTACGTTTTACTAACAGTCAGCTTTATGTTTATCATTATTATTATTTTTAGTCTCATTTTGTCACATACTTGCTCAGTCTAGAGGTTTAGTAAATAGCAGGTACATTTTATGTCAAGTGGCATATGTTAAAATGAAACGCAAGATCATAATCAGCATGATTCATAACAAAAGACTTTTACACTTATAATAGTTGGACATATTTGAAAGAAAAGTGACATTTTATTTACGTTTTACTAACAGTTAGCTTTATGTTGATTTTTTTAATGTCTCATTTTTCACATACTTGCTCTCAGTCTAGAGGATTAGTAAATAGCAGGTACATTTTATGTCAAGTGGCATAGCTTAAAATGAGACTTAAGATCATAATCAGCATTATTCATAACAAAAGACTGGATGTTGTCATTGCTGCTGCTTGTCTAAAGAGAGAGACCTGCTGATTAGAACAAACCTAAAAAGCCTGATGTAGGCATTGTTGGCAAGTTTTGAAAGTTTGGAGTCTGTGTGACACAATGTCATAGCTTTATGTAGAATTCCAGGAGTTGTAATCCCGTTACTATATTTTAAGGTTCCAAAAGGCCACTAAAGCACCAGAGGTGATATGTTGTTTTGTATTATTTTCGGTCTCACTAGATGCAAAGAATAAGTTTCACATGAATTTTTACATTTTTGTGTTTTACCTTGTGACTACAGTACGGATTATTGAAAGGCAATAACTCGCTTTAATAGGCAGATAATTTTTAAGAGTTAGTTATAAATAATTAAATTAGGTAGATAGATAACCTTAGTCCTTACGGATTTACTTGGCTACTTTTAAATTTTATTTATTTTTTAACAACATTTGTTAAAAAAGCCCTATTAAAATCACAATCTAATGAAATACATGTAATTTATGACATTCATTCTTAAACGATATTAGGATTTAACGCATTACCAGCTACGAAACCTTTATGTTTCGTAGTAACAACACCCAACAAAATATTTATGCGTCTTTTAATTTGAAGCCTTCCCAGACATTTTGGCTAATTTACATGGATTTCCTTCTCTTTAAGCACCTTTTCTAACAACCAGAAATTTGTCTCAATACGCAAACCAGTGTTCTCACAAGTTTCTGTGTGCTTTAACTCCTAACTTGTCAACCTTTCCACAATGTACCTCTTAATCTTTAAAAGTCAACCAAAACCCCCTGACAGACATGAAGCAAATTATTGCTATGTCTGAAAGTAAGTACAAAGTCAGACAAAGCTTTTAAGCCTCTTATTCAAAAAGAACTTATGTCATAAAGGCATGTTCTGATGCTAACAAAATCAATTACAGCTTGTGGTGATGTAATTAAATAAGAACATTCAAATTCAAACTAAGAATGTGGACTAGTGATAAAAGACTATTCAATTTAATTTTAATTTAAGCTGGCTCAGTAACTCTACCATATGAGGAAACGAAACGGGAAATTATAGCAAAGGCTAAAATTATAAACAACTGGGTAATTTATAAAATAATAACTGTACATATCTTTGAAAAATAATTTTCTTTATCTATTCAGTTTCTTTCTTCAACACGTTTCCTTTTTAGTTTAAAATTTTTGGATTTAATTAAGGATTTCTGCTATTCTAAAAAAAACTAACTGTATTTAGAATGTGTAAAAAAAGCTGCTAATTTTATTTCTTTAGTAATATGAGCATTCAGAAAAAATATTAAATATATGGTAAGGGCCAGTTACAGAGCTGGTGTGGCAGAATTTTTAGAATTTGGTGACACACTAAGAAACAAAATCCAGAAATGGCAACACTTTTAGAATTTAGAGCAGGCATTGGAAGCAGAAATTAGAAAGGCACAGGCAGAAGAATTTAGGATCCTCAGAGATTGTATCAGGTTGGAAAATGCCTAGCACCAGCCCTGTGTCTGATGCATTAAGACATATTAGATGAATCTTTTAAATTGTAGGTTTTCAATTTCTTTTTTAATTAAAAAAATCCTTTCTATAGTGCCTTGTCTATGTGATAAGATCAGAAGCAGTTTTGATATTTTCCATCCTTGTGTCTAGTGAAAAGTAGAGAAAATAAAAGGATGATAAACATCTAAAGAAAAGGATTCTAGTATCAGAAGTAAAACATTCAAATAATATGTTTTCATTGTTCTTCCAGACATCCTCCAAAAAGTAAGAAATTCATCGCAAACTTACACATTTACTACGTGTTAATACCATGGAGACCTTTTTCATTTTGTCAAATTTTTCTGGAATATTCTAGAATCGCGATTCTATAAAACTTGCCTTCAAGACCTTTTAAACTTTTCAAGCTGCAATGCCTAAAATCCCAAAGAAAAATTAATTTACCAGTTCTGTAATACCAAATATATATATATATATTTTTTGGAAAATAAAAAGTCTAAAATTAATTTTATAGAGAAACCTGATGCATATTCTGGATATTGCGAGACAATTAAAATGGGGAAAATTAAAAAGGATATACTTTTGATTTATTACATAGTTAATTTTGCTTTTGCTAAGAAACTGTTTCATAAACTGTGCTTTATAAACATTATACCTTATTATTTTTCAGATTCAAAATATGTATAAGTTACCAAAATGAAAATTTATAATATGACAGCAAAAAATAAAAATGTTTTATTTTAATGCTATTTTTTAATATAATTTCATTATATTACAATTATTTTAATGAAATTTATAAATGTTACAATGTTAATAAAAAATTCCCAGATCTCGGAATTAAAAATTATCTATAGAAACTGATCTCTAAATCACCAAAATATTGATAAGTTGCCAAATTTAGACTTGTTTAATAAAAGAATTCACATCCCCAAAAGCAAAAAGTTGTTTAACCCGACAGAAGGCACACATCCAACACTGACGTTGCAGGTCGCACGGGTTGACTGCGTCACCTCAATCAGTTTCATTAGGAAAATGTGTTATAAATTTTATAGAAACCATTTGATTATAAACAATAATTGCAATATTTCATTATGAAACTATGCTTCTTTACTTAAGAAAACATATTTTAATATTTAAGAAAAAATTCCAAGCAAAATAATTACATGCCTAATCAGGGATCAGAAGCTAACATACACTTCTGGCAAAGAGGAAGAATGAATTTTACATGAAAAATTATCACATACTTTGCAAGAAATTGTAGTTTTATTGTCTTTGGATCTTGGACACATAGCACATCGGCCTTTGTCGAGTTTTGGTTTCTTTGATGAGCGTTTTTCTGATCCACTAGAAGTTGCATTATTGATGCTTTCATGAAGCACTTTAGGAAGCACTGGTATATTTTTTGTTATCTCTATGTGAGGCTGTATAAGAGATATAGCCAAATTTTTTACGAATTTTCTTTTATTTTGATATTGTAAGGGAGGGGTCTTTGTTGAGAATAAGGCAACTCAGGCATTTATTGCAGCGATGTTCAACACAGTAAAAAACGGCCATCTGTTGGTTTTTCAAGCTGTCGAATATAATGATGACATTTCATCAACTTTATCTACACCACCTTTTGTTGGATTATAAAAGTGAATTATTTCTGGTTTCTTCCTATCATTACTTTCATCGATGGCATCATCACAATGCATTGTAGATAACAAAACTACACATTTTGATTTTTTAGGCACATACGATACTAGTGTCGTGTTCTTTTGAAACCCAAATATAGATGAATAAATGTTTCTAGTTTTGGTTTGGACGAACTTGGTGGGAATTTCAGCCTTGTTTCTCAAGGTTCCTACGATAGTTCGCTTCGTTGATAAAAGTTTGTTTGCTAGAGGATAACTCGTATACCGATTATCCATTGTTACGTTTCTGCCTGATCCAAACAAAGGAGTGCACAGGCATTTTGCAATTTCAAATGGTAAATTTTTAACTCTAAAGGGACCTTCTGGCTGTTGTCTTGCGTATATCTCCATGTTATAGCTGTAGAAAGTTCTTGAATCTACTGAGGCAAATATTTTGGATTCCATACTTCGCTGGTTTGCTGGGTATATATTGACAAAAGAAACCCCCCCCCTCAAAATTTCTCTAATTTTTCTCTGATAATAACATATTCACCAATAATGTAAATCTCTTGGCAATTTTCATTGAAATCAGCAAAAAATTCCCTCACAGCCGCCAGTTAGTCTAATTTTTTCCGAGCTTCATGATTGGTCACATTGTCTAACTGTAGATACCTGAGAAGAAAATTAAATCTTTTATATGACATCGTGTTCCGTAAAATTTCAAAGCCTGATCCAGCAGTAGCCCACAAATCTTGCGTATTTGTATGCGACGATTTATACAAGCCGAACAGATATTAAAGCCCAAAAAGTGCTCTAATTTCCACATCATTTGTCGTTTTGGCATCCCAATCTCTTGTGTAATTTACCGATATTTTTTCAATAAGTATTTGTACACTCTACAATGGAATGTATCATTTTAGCATTGAAAACCAATTCCCAACTTTCTAGAGACTCTGTTACATTGCGTGCAGTTTTTTTTCATCCTGGTAAATGAGTTGTTATATTCTGAGAAGTTTTCACTTTTTGATTTGGTTTTCCTTTCTGCCAAACTCTTACTTTTGCTAATAAAAATACTTTTTGCTAAATCAGGATTTCCATCGTCTTCATCATTCTGCTCAAATTCACTTCACTATCATGAGAACTGTATATTTCTTCATCAGATTCAATTTCACTATCTTGATCAATTTCTTTTTCAGAAGATTCAACTTCATCTAATAGAGTTTTCAAACGTTCCATCTCTTTTTCATATTCGGTAAATTTACGTTTGTAAGCGATTATCTATCAAATAATCCAACAGACCAACATGCACTTAAGGTGCGAGTAGAAAAATCTTTGCTTTATCTAATGGCTGAGGTTATGTACTTTTTCTGATTACTAAATGTTTACATTTGTGCATTCCTGCAGCATTTGCACATGGTAAAATTGAGTCTTATTTTGGAATGTCTGATACCAGTTGGCACCTTTACTGCAGATGTCGCCTAGCCATTTCATGACAAATATTACCAGAAAAGACTAGTAATAAGCATAATAAATGTTTATGGAGGTAACTTTTTTACTGTATATGATTCGAAAAATTCATGTGAAAATTGTCATTTGCTTCAATATCAATTGCTATTACATGCATCCTCTGAGACAAGAACAAATTTTCTGGGATGATTTCCCTAGCAGAAAAAAAAAAAAGACACGAAAATCGAACCTTCTGCACCTTCATATAACTCGGTGACATGCATCTACCGTGAAATTTGCATAATTTTCAGACTACTCCTTCTTGGTACTGCATTTTCAATGTAGGGTAGTATAATAAATTGCATTTCTTGAATATGTTCAGAAATTCAATCTCATACTAATAGATATTTTGTTTACCTTAAGCCAGAATTAAATAGTTAGTAGTTGAGGTAGGCGCAAGTTCTCAAAAATACTTACCTAGAATCAGGATTCTTCTGAAGCTCAATAACATCTTGCTCAAGATTAGCTTTACTTACTCTAAGCCGAAGATTTTCTTTTTGATGAAAGTCAAGAGCTTCATACAGACTATTGGCTGGAAAAAATTAACAAAATTTTGTAGCAATTCTGCATAATTATACAGGTCAGTATAAAAATATACATTGAGTGTATTTACTTTTTACAAGCTGTAGTTACATGAAATGTAGACTTAAAAGTGATGCATACATTTTTTCAGTGAAAGAAATATGGCACAACACAGCATATAATTCTTTACAATTTCAGTTCAGAACAGAGAAGAATCAATTTTGCTACATGCAGCATGTACATACAATTATTATGTTTTCTTAGAACTATATGAAATAAATATGTTCATTTATTCAAACTGCTTAGTTTTAGTATTTTTGCTCATATAATACTTTCTTAAAACCCGTATATTTGTTCTTAGCTACATTAGACTGTAAAACACATATTTTCCCAGTCAACAGTTTACAGAAATTTTCCCAGTTACAGTTGTAGAGTGAGAGAGTTAATTTTGTTGGTTAGTTTCTGCAGCCCAGTGGTCATCTCAAGGTAAGGTTTGGTTTGGTTTATTAGATTACGGCAAAGCACTCGAGGGTTATCTGCCTTAAGGGAGGGATGCCTTCATGGAGGACTTTTTAAGAGAAACTGGCTCGTATACACGTTACACATGGGAAAAACCATGAAAACACCCAAGCAGCCAGCCCGTTCGTGGGATTCAAACCTCGGACCGAATTACCAGTGTTCAATGACGTTACCGCTCGGCCGCTGGTGGGCCCATCTCAAGGTTAGGATCATAGTTAACTGTACATGTAAATCTGTTAATTATTACCACACCACACACCTGTGCCCCTTGACAGTCAAACCCACGCAGGTTGGCTACAAATGCAAAATAATGTTGAGGGGTTAAAACTGCATTTGTAAATCTAGGGCCAACTCTCAGATTCTCTCTGAATATTTGTTAATTTATGGGTTGTATATATTTAAATCCATGTGAAGACAACCTTCTTGTAAGGTTCATCCTCCAAATTCCAATCTGAATGCTGATATCAAAGAGCGGAGACACTAGGAAGTAAGAGATGACATGTTCCTACACTATAAAAACTGTTCTAGTAACTAATAATGTACCCTAGTAGTTCTTACATAGTAATATTGACATATAACATTATAAAATGATGTAACTTCACGACTAACAATATCAATAACCAGCAAATAGGCTGTTCCTGGTGAAACTTGATTTTAAGAGGATAACCAAATAAAATTACACGATGCTTCCAACAGTCTTCAGATGTGAAAAATCAGAAATGGGGGTAAAAGATGACTTCCCCCCCCTCTCAAATGTCCCAGACAGCAAGAAGAAAGGAGATTCAGGAACTTTTACCTACGGAAAGCTAAAAATTTACAGCTAGCAAAAATTCTGTCCTATGTACTAATACATGAAGGCTCATAAATGTAACTTTTTAAAGTCCACACTTCATTACTATATATACATTGATGCAACTAGCATCCAAGTCTGTTGTTGATATTCTTAATATTATTAAGGATTACTGATCCTTTTACAGATTATTACCAGCAATATGCCCATTTTGTACATGGAAAAGTGGGAAAGAAAATTATTTTCATAAGAAACATAAGTATTATAAAAGTTTACAGAAGTATTGAGAGAACTGGTAATTTTCTGTTCATGGAGCTCCACTTAATGCCAAACATAAGTGTTAGTATAAAATCTAGTAGACGGTGGCATCCCTAAAGATACATAAAACTTGATGAAAAGAATGACCATTCCGTATTTCCTGTTTAAAGCAGTAACCAAAGTTGGAAGATAAGTCACCAGAATTGCCAAGCCTATAACAACAGTAATTTGCAATGATATGTGTAATAACAGCAGGGCTGGTGCCAAAGACAGTTCAACCGATACTGTCATGCCCAGCAGCAAAATTCAAGGGCGACAAAATTTTTGGATTTTAGTGAAGCACTGAGCTTGATAATTTAAGGATGGCAAAATTTTTAAAACTTAACTAAACTTAAAAGTTTTCACTTAAAAAACTTCAGACAATTGCACAAATTTGGCATCATGCATATTAATTATATTATATGATTGCAGTTTTTCATTTTCTGATGACTGCAAGTATTCATATCCAGCAGTTGCCAATCCATTAGCTTAAGCAGCAGAAAAATCTTGTAAGAGAAAATTTTTTGATTGGTGTTGATTGATCCTACTTATTAATTCCTACTTTGCTGCCAACATCACTGCACAGCTACCCATGATAATTACATTTGGTGCTTTAGAGCACATTTAGGATCACGGCACTTAGCTAAAGGAAAAGTATGAAAAATTTAATGCTACAAAAGAAATAAATAACATGCATAAAACTTCTAAACTGTTAAAAAATAAGTATATCACCATAATAAAACATAATTTTTATAAACTCCAACATTCTTGTCATATGTGACTAAAAATAAAATTGTGGCACTACTAACAATGGCAGATTTTAAATGATACAAAATTTAAAGAACTGAAGCTAATGAAGGCTAACATGTCATTTCTGTAGTACATCTTCTATTGTTTTTTCAAATTTTGTTAAGCTCCCACAGGGTTCGTAGTCACATTTTAGTTTAAAAAAATAAGCACTTTTCAAGCACATTTTAAGAAAAAAATAAGCACCTGTCTAATTACTGTTAGCAGTGGCGATAAAGGCAAAGCATATTTTGCTTCCCTTAAATAAACCTAAGATTAATCTAAATAAAATTCATGCTTTATTCTGTAAATTAAAATAAGTTAACACTGTAGCCTTTACATTTAAAACCATTTGAGAGAAAGAAAACTAGCATAATGCTAACTCATAATACACACATTCGCCGATACCAGCGTACATATATATAATACTCAGCCAACCCGCAGATCTGGACGTCATCGGCCAATCAGCGGCAACCACGTTAGCTTACCGCCGATTGACCTCCGACCAAAATTTCCATAAGGAAAACTAAAGCCAACAAACGGCCCTCTTTTACTCATGCAAATACAAAAACAAAACTTACACAGAATTACAGAGGTTCATAGTTCAATTCTATTATACGAAAACACTTATTGTCTTTAAACACAAAAAACATCTAAACAAAACTTCCTTAAATTAACAGCAGTTGCTGCTTTTGTAAATAAGTCCGCAGTATTTAATTTACTGGTGATAAATTCAATGTCAAACACTCCATCATTTACTAGTCTTCTAATGAAGTGATATTTTACATTTATGTGCTTAGTTCGGTGATTTTCTATTGGCAATCTAGAAAAATCAATGGCAGACTTGTTATCACAAAATAGTTTGCATTCTCTTAAATTAAACTTTAAAATTGCATCTTGTAAGACATTTTTCGTCCACATTAATTCCTTCGCTGCCTCCGATAAGGCGATATACTCCACTTCCATGGTTGATAAACTTACATATTTTTGTTTAACAGTTTTCCAGATTACCACTACTTCATTTAAATATAATATAAATCCTCCCATAGACACGTGGTCATCCCTATTACTTGCATAATCAGCATCTGAATAACAATATAAATTCAGCAGGTTAGAAAGGGTTCCAAGGAAAAAACCCACAAGAAAAAAAGCCCACAGGAATAATGCTCACAGGAAAAAAGCCCACACAGAAATATGCCCACCTAGAAAAATACTCACATGGAAAAATGCTCACTTAGAAATATGCTCACACAGAAAAAAGCTCGCATGGAAATAAGCCCACTGATAAATAAAATATGTAGAAATATCCTAACATTAATCAATCAATAATTAATCAATAAAATACGTAGAAATATTCTAACATTAATCAATCAATAATTAATCGATTTGAACATCCCACACCTACTCGAATTTTTTAAAGAAAAATTTTTTGATCATTTGAAAAAATACTGGACAAACGCTCATACAGTACAAAGTCCGTAATCAGGACGTCTATTTTCCAGAATGATCTATAATCTGGACCTTAAAGCCACACACTTACATATGCACGTTTAATGTGCGAGTCCACTACACTTGCACGTAAACCCAGTAAAGTGTTTACACATGCGAGCTTCCGATAGTGATGAAAGTGACAGAGAGATTATTGAAAACGAAAAAATTTCGATTGACAAGTTAGTCGGTATTCTCGACACAGCAATTACAGGATTTCAACAGTGGAACTTTGTAACTGAACAAGAAGTTATGTCTGTTTATAGAAGACAGAATTAAAGAGAAAGTATTAGCACAAAAAACAAAGCAACTTAAACAACTTGCATTGAAAGAAATGTTTAATAAAGTAAACAAATAAATATTAAGCTTTTTTTGTAAATTCATAATTGCTCTTTATTTCCCGACGAGTCCGTATTATGGACTTTGTAATGTATTTTTTCAGAGGCAGTATATAAAAGAATGAAAACTATAGTAAAATTTTGCATGTACTGTAATATTTTATACCACTGCCCCTATATACGACATTTTTTCCCTGTAACTGCCAATAGTTTATTTTGTTTTTTATTTACTCTATTTTTGCATACTTTTGATCTATAGAAATTGATGTTTCAATGTAAATGATGAAGTCAAAAATAATGCAGTCAAAAAAGTTTTAGAAAACTACTGCTTCCAATCGAAGTGCGGAATCATCATGAAGCAGCGTTCGAAAAATCTCCTAAAATAACAAATTATTAGGAAAGCTTTCATAAGGTACTAAATTCATTATTTAATTATAGCCATCCTAGTATGAAAAAAAGTCTTTAGGTCTGAAAAAAAGATTTAGCCTGTCAATGTTTATTACTAGCTATTGTAAATACAAGGCATACTGAACTAAAAAAAAAAAAGAAAAGAAAAGAAAAGAAAATATGAAAACTTGCACTTGGTAATCGCGAATCATGTAAGAAACTATGATGAAATCGACGATAAAATTAGATATTTACGTACATTAGCTAATATTCAGTAAGTTTGTAGAGACATTAGGTATTTTGAAGGTGCGTGCAGACCACCATACCACAAAGGCATGCTAAGTAGGCGGGAGAAATACTTTATAAGTTTATATGAAATATACATGATTTACATATAAGAAGGTA